AATCATTTCAAACCCAAGATCGACCTTTGGCCATTCAGACTTGTCATTCATCGGAGTGATATGAAACTCATAAGCCATCTTGAATCTCTCTACTGAATAGTGGTCATGCACAAAGTCCTAAATATTTAGTTGTCTCACCTTCCCGAACAAGTATATAGCATGAGTGTATGGTTTTTCTGACACCTCCCATTGTCCACATCCACATTAAGGTCAATGCCATTCAACAATTGTTTTTTGTTGGCTCGACATCTCCTGACATAGGTGGCTTCGTGAAATCATAGTGTGCAGATTTTTCTTTTCAACTCATGAGGGACAAGCATCAATTGGATGACTCAATATTTTTTCCATGATCAATCGATCAACCATCGGATGTAAGAAACAAAAAAATATTCCATTACCTTGGTTTTTTATTTTTTTGTCTAAAAAGGTGAGATGGTGGAAGCTCTTGTTCTAATTCAGCTTGAGTAGCCCATTACAACCCTTCTCTATATGTCCAAACTTTTTTTTTTCTAAAGCACCTTTTGCATTGATATGGTCCTCTTTTTCCAGCATATGCTCTCCACTAGCCTTGATTCTTTTCTTTCTTGGTCTACCATGCCCAATTGGCCCTTTGTAGCGGTGGAGGAATCATTTCAAACCCATTATACTTTCTTGTCAAGTGATCGACCTTTGGCCATTCAGACTTGTCATTCATCGAGAGTGATATGAAACTCATAAGCCATCTTGAATCTCTCTAGTGCTGAATAGTGGTCATGCACAAAGTCCTAAATATTTAGTTGTCTCACCTTTGAAAATAATAAGATATAGCCATCCAGGTAAGAAAAAACTCTCCAATCACAATTTTGATCTGCACGCTTTGCCCTATACCTAGAAGTGTCACTATGTTCAACTCTACCATCCTTTGCAAAATTGAACAAGTATATAGCATGAGTGTATGGTTTTTCTGACACCTCCCATTGTCCACATCCACATTCTCTTTTATTAAGGTCAATGCCATACCTCCAAGTCTTTCCTTCCTTTGTTGTACCATCTACCATAGCATATTTCTCCTCAATATCAAAGTTTGGAATAGGCCTTGGCCTCTTCCTTGTTTGCACCTCCACATAGGGCCACTTTTCGTGAAATCATAGTGTTGGCTCATCTCCATGAGGATCCTCGGCTTCTTCTCTTCAGCCATTCAACTCATGTATCACCCCAACTTTCATCTCCTCAACGACACTTGCTGCTATAGGCATGTGTTCACCATCCATGTTAAATGGAGGATACCTCGCTAACCATGTTCAATGCAGCAGGCTTGAATTCTATTAGCTATCTCTTGCCTTGTGTAGATTTTTTCCATGATCTTCTCTCTAATCTTATCCATCGGATCAACAACTAGAAGATCTTTGTAATCGTTAATCCAATTATTAAAGCTTCCAAGGAAATTGATAGCAATTTCTATATTGTTGTTAACATAATCAACTTTGTATTCTTTGGAGAATTTAGATCTGCTCCATATCAGCTTGTGATACTTGTCTAAAAAGGGGATTGCTTTAGGACAGCTAGTTACAATTTTTTTCCATCAATGCATCATGTCGTGCACCATGGATGAGAGGCCGAGGAGCTGCAGTTCCGATGTACATGCCCATTACATGCACAAAATGGCCACATGTATTTTTCTACAGCTCGAGCACCTCTAAACCTTGAACTTTTTTCTAAAATTTGCCATTAGGTGTCTAAAACATTCACGGTGCTCCGCAGCATCACCTTTGAAGCCTCTATATTTACAGTCATATGCTAATCCCTTCACAAGCATTAGTGTGGATTGTCAAACCTAATCGGGCTGCCAATTGCTTTCTTCCTTTTCAAGTTGGCCATCAACCATGCCCAATTGGCATTTGTTTTACTTTCCAAAATTCCATATGCAGTAACACATAGGTTCTTCCGGATACATCCGCTACTCATAGAAGCTATTGTTGTCCATCAATTGTTGTTCATCCTTTATCTTTCTGTGATAAGTGCAGAGTATACTGTTTCAAAAAAAGTAGAGTATATTCCTTGATTATATTTTCACGTTTCTTGTTGCAAGTGAGTAGAATCAACACTGTTCAGCTGAAAACTTTTGTGCCCATTGTTATCTGTGGGTGGCTGTTGTTCATTTCCTGATATTTGTTTAATATGTGTCCCACATGATACAAAAAGCCATCAACACATGCTTTGATGCACACAAACATCCTTGAGAAATGCATTTGGCCTTTGATCTTCTTGCAATCAATCTCAACAATGCTTCCAAGCTGGTCAAGTTTCTTCTAGTGCAGCTTTGAATCTCCACAACATTGATTTTTGAAGCTCTCCTCCCAAGTACCATGAATAGCATCCATTGATCGCAGTACTTAACATGACTTCTTCCTGATGGATGGTTGGATTATCGGCTAAAAGGATTGCACACACTTTTCTTTTAAAATAGGACAACTCAATGTTGTAATGTTTCTCCAATCTTTTACTGCTTGCTAAACCCCCTTTCCATCCACGCCAGTTCGCAACATGTGCAGTTGTTGGTAACTCAGGAGTCAGGAGATCTCTTGAAAACAGAGTTTGGACAAGAGAGATTGATGCACATGACCTGTTTCGGGACAATTGTCAATAATATCTTCCACTAGAAGTTTTGGAATACGTAGCCAGCTGTCCAGATTCATATTACTGATATTAAATATGCCAAACATGTTGGATTGAAAAGGGACTTTCGACTGGTTGTCCGGGGTGCTGCTCGAAATATGGCACCAATACTGAAGGGCTCCTGTAATGCTGTAATCCTGATTTCTTCCAATTTACTATTTGTCCCTTCTATATAATATGCTGTAGTCCTTATTTATATGATATATGTTACTCGTTTGTGGTAACAAACAAATGCAAACTTACTATCCTTTTTACAAGTTCAATTTATGGGTCTGAAGTTGTTATCAAATAGAGTTTAGACATGTGGTAAATATTTCTGTTATGGCATGTGAGGGCTGCTTTTGAAACAAGATGTGACTGTCTTGCTTTCCCTTGCAGCTGATGAGGCACTGATCATTAAAAGTTTGACGCACAAAGAAATCAATGCGGTGATAAAGGTAACAGATCTGCATATTGTTTCATTGAGCTGAGTTTGTGATATAAACTAATTTTACTTAAGTGTTATGACTCATGGAAGGTCATGCTCACTTATATTGAACATGGGTTACTTGCAGGAACTTCCAAATCCTGTCTACCTTTTTCAAGGTATAGTTTTAAGAAGAGGTGCTAAAGGAACTGGCTTGAAGTCCATAGAACTGGCCCTTTCCATGTGTGATATTGTTGACTTGTATGGTTTTACAGTTGATCCTGGGTACACAGAATGGTGAGTTAACGAATGGCTACAATACTGAGTATTTCACCATTAACATGGCAGCTGGCGCTATGTTTCCCTTTTTGTATAAATATATATTTTTCTCACTCCATATTATTTCAGGACACGGTATTTCACAGGCCCTAGGAAAGGACATAATCCACTGCAAGGCCGAGCTTATTATCAACTTCTGGAATGCCTTGGGGTAAGCCTCAACCATGTTATCATTATGTTCTATCTGCATAGATTTATTCTGACCTATGTGATAATTACCATGTGTAGGTCATTCGCATCCATTCTCCCATGAGAGCACAAAGGGTGGAAGATTGGTCAGACATACCAAGCAAAGAAGAGATCAGAAGAGCACACACTGCAGCTTTTCATCTAAAAAAACATGAAACTGGCCAGTCGGCTGAACTGGGGCCATTTAGTAATTGCAAGGTGTGGGGAACAGTTGACCCTGACTATGGACCGGTATCAGGTACTTCAGATATGAGTGAGACACGCAAGAATTCAAACTACAGCAAGTGGGAGTTGCTTCCACTTGAGAAGCTGAGAAGAGAAGCTCAGGAATACCATATCCAAATGGGTGGCGTGTCTCTATATAAGATGGATGGAAACAAGTTGGATGATCTTGTCTGTGTGAGGCACCAACGTTCATCAAGTTAAGACCGTGGCTGCCTAAGCTTGACCAAAGATAGTGTTTTGACACTTTTAGGATTGGTTGCATGGTGGTTCTGAAAGGACGCTAGACAACAAGATTCCAAACATCCGATGAAACTGCATGCGTTGCTGTATCCACTTGTAAAATTACATGAGGCATCGGGTTCAGAGCGCGGCAGCCCTACCTGGAATAGAGAATTCTTTTATTGGTTGTTTAGGTACTTCTAGCCTTCTAGGAACAGCTACTTAAGCTGTCTAAGGTCTTGTTATGTGGACACCACATGACTTGGTTTTCACTTTTTGACACAGCTGCAACTAAATGCTAAAGGGCCTTAACATTTCTCAATTATGAGGTGCATTTTGTCACCGATCCAGCAGTCTCGATTCCAAATTTGTGACGTTCGTTGTTAACTGACTCTCATCTGACTGTCCCAGTTGAGTTCATTACCAGAATTATGTGTGAATCTTGTAAACTGATTGAGGACGTCTGCAACAACTGCCCTTTTAGCTGCCTGTTACCCAGTAGCCCAGTTATATAATTTCCAATTCACAACCTTTTTCCTTTTTTTTTATCAAAAGTCAGTAGCCCAGATGTATAATTTCTAATTCACAACCTTTTTATTTTTTATCAAAAGTCTTGGACCAATACTGGCTTTGTCTGGCCAATTTATAAATTGAAAAAAAACAAGGACAAAATTGGATGACCAATACTGGCTTTTTCTGGCAGATTTATAAATTGAAAACAAAACAAGGACAAAATTGGATTGGAGTTGTCCATTGCAATGTAAATAAATTGGGTTCTATTTCCACCCCTCTTTGTACAGAATGACCGGTACGCAACAGTTATTTTTGTCACCTAAAAACAGAGGTTCATAAACTATAATGCTCCATCCAACTTAAGGTTGTTCATAAACCATGATGGTCCATACAACTTTAGGTAGACACACCATCCTGGTTCAAGCAACATAATATAATGAACAAATAAATAAACCTAGAGGTTCACACAAGTTGAACGCGAGCTATTGAACTGCCGAGTCATGATCTCATTCTGCAGCATCTTGTAGTACTGCTGTTGCAGCTCAGACATGCCGCTAGTGTCCTTAGTCATGATTCTCTCTTCTTCTAACATGATCTTCAAATCTACCTCTTTGCTCTTCAAATCCAATTCTTTCCTCTTTATCTCAAGATTCCTCGCCTCATTAGCAGCCCTGGCTTGTTCCAGCGTGACCTTCTGTTGTTCTAGCGCAACCCTCTGTTGTTCTAGCGCAACCTTCTTTTGTTCCAGTGCATACTTCTGTTCTAGCGCAACCTTCTGTTGTTCTAACGCAACCTTCTGCTGTTCCAGCGCATGTTTATGTCTCTCATGTTTGTCTCTCTCGCCATTGTTGATCTGTCTCTCCGCATCAGCTTGTTCATCTCTGTCTGTCTCAGCATGTTCATCTCCCTGGCCATTGTTGAGTTCTCTCCCCTCATCAGCCACTTTCCTCTTCCCCCAGAGATCATCTGACGCCTCCAGGTAATACAAACCAGCTCCACCTTGCTGTAAATTCTCTTTCTCCTTGTTCACATCCACTGGCTGTATCAACACCTCACACTCCTGAGCCGCAGCCTCTAAACTGTCGTCGTCGCATGGCGGAGCAGACGAGCCCGGGCTCGAACAGGGAGTCGTCTTCTGTTTCTTCTGAGACGAGGAGGCCACCACCACCTGGGTCTGGGAACACGACGACGACCGGTTGATCCACGCCAGCTTCTGCGACGAGATCTGCGACGACCTCTCGATCCACTTCTGGTGCGACCTCAGGAGGTTCCAGCAGTGCAGGAACTGGAACGACTTGTTGTTCTTGTCTTCAGACTTGAAGAGAGCCAGCGCCTGCACCACCTGCAAATACAACAGTGAAAGAAAAAACGTCACAACATTCCAGACTGACTGCACAGTGCACACGACAGTGAAAAGAAATGTGACAACCAAGAACACCACGACAGATCGAGCAGCGTCACCGTGTCCTGAGGCGTGAGCGAGTTGTCGTCCTGGCCGTCGACGACGTCTGCGACGCAGCGGTCGAAGCGCTTGACGTTGTCCTGGATGGTGGACCAGCGGTGGAGGAGCGAGTTCTCGCTGCGCTCCGACTCGAAGTCCCTGCGCGCGTGGAAGTAGTCGTGCATCCGCTTCCAGTAGGGCGCGCGCTCGCCACCGTGGGCCGGCCCGTCCGAGCTCACGTTGAGCCACGCCAGCACCAGCATCTCGTCCTCCTTGTCGCTGAAGTTCTTGGTCCGCTTCTGGTTCAGCCGCACCGCGCGGGCGGCGGCCGGTAGCGCCTTGGCCGGCGAGCGCTGCTGTTGCTGCTCCAAGACTGAAGGTTCGTCGCCGCCGATGTGCGCAGAGGCAGAGGGCAGGCCGGTGACGTAATGCCCGTTCCCGTCCATCGTTCCTCTATCGATTCAGTAAACCGACGCAGTCAGATTAACATCGACACATACATGATGAATACTGGGTTTCGATTTTGGTAATTTACTTTTTTTTAATTACCTTGGCCTCACGCCGGTGGGGTGGGGCGGAGGCGGCGGGGTGCGGGGGTCGGGCGGACGCCGTCACGTCCTGGCGCCCTGCATGCCGGAGGACGGGGCGCCGAGGGAGGATTTGGGAAGGCGCGGGCGCGGGAGCGGGAGGAGAGGCGATTTGGGAGGGGCGTGAGATTGGGGGTCGCCACAAGCAGCGAGGTTCCGCCTAGGGCTCGGTAAAGATGAGGACGAAGTTGGAGCTGGGGGGCTTTCTTCGGTGGGTGGGGGCAGACCTGGGACTCTGGGAGAGGGCTTTCTAGGATCGATCCCTAATTATAGCTAGACAGATCGGAGACGGGGTGCTCGTTTGGCGTGTCGCACTGTCGATCATCCTTAAAAAAAAAAAATGGGAAGTAAACAGTGAATCTCGCACATCTTTTTTTTTCTTCTAATGAATCTCGCCACATCTTTTTTTTTTTCTACTAAATCTCGCCACACACGTCCGCCCTACTGAATCTCGCCACAATCGAGATGGAACGTTTTGTGCGCCGCACTGGTGTTTCGCTAAACTTATCACACACAAGTTTAAGAGAGATGGACTCAAAATAGGTTCATGTATACATAGGCACGAGGCGTCGAAAGATGCATATTTTGTGTACAGCAAAATTCATCGATTCACCCACACAACCACCAAGAAATCATGCCACGGTATAACAACTGTATATAACAGCAGCAAACTTTGCTGTTCCAATCATATTTATAACTGATACTATGAAGATGACATCTCCGTTATTTATACCGGTAAACATCTGCCCTCAGAAGAATTTTTTTTTTACAAAGAGACGAAAGAAAACAGAAGATGAGATCGGACTCTTTCCCTAGGCCACACGCACCACCACCATTTTATGGAGCCAAGACATCAAATCGCCATTCCAGTTTTCCCTGCAGCCGTTTATGCAGTGGTTGAGAAAAAATGGCAGCATCGTGTTATTGCACTTCTGCTCTGCCGCCAGACTCACAACCTGGAATTTGCAATATTGGAATCTGTTAGTTTGATCCAACCGAGGCTCTAGGACAAGATCTATGTGGTACCTTTGACGATGAAGAATCGGCATGTGTAAGCCTTCTTTCTGAGACCCTTACTTGTCCTAATTTGATCCAGATGTCGCAACACAAGGGGCGGGGGCATTGCTAGCGCTGGTACTCGTAGTGGTAGTAGTAGTACCAACAGCAGCAGAAGCAGAGCTGGTCTCTGTAGTCCCTTCATTGCTTGATTCTGTGGCGGGAGGAACTTCGGAAGTGGATGCTGTCGGGCCATCACCTGTTCTGCTATTTCCTCTAGTTTCCAGGCGCTCCATCATCCGTGACACAGACGCGATTCCAGCATTAACCTCTCTTCTCACTTCAGAACCAAGATCCGCCACGGACGAATTACGTGAAAAGAGTCTCTCCTTCCACCCTCGAGTACTCTTTGTAATAGATTCTTTGTACCTGTGTCATACAAAGTATTGCAAAGCTTTAGGATAAAAATTCATTATGCTAGAAGGCTCAAGGCAAAAAATATATTGACAAAATTACAAACTATCCATACTTCATAGAGACAGCATTTAAGCGAGACTTCAGGGAGTCCGAGAAAGACTGAATATCCGATGGTCCAGCCCTGTCTGGAGTTGACTGTCCAGTGGAGTGCCTCCTGATGCATCATAGTCGTCATTTAGTTAGATAACCACAAAAAACTAACATGAGAAAACAGTATCTGAATATATACTAAGTACCTGTTAAAAAACCGAGGACTCGATACAGGAGTGCTATTTCCAGAAGAAACGACAGCATCCTGTTCAGCATCGTAGGTAAGCATCCCGGGACTTTGGTTTCCTGCATCTCCAACGCGAATAGCTCGTGGAGATGACTCACTAGCTCTAGGGGTGGCAGGATTTGAATCATTTTCTCCCTCCACATGGGCAGAAGATGAAGAAATTGTGCCAGCAGAAGGTGAATTTGGATGTGTAGAGAAAACTAGGAACTGTGGACGACCATGAGAGCCAGATCGTCCCCTGTGCCCCTCCCTTCTTCCAAGATGGTGTGCCCTTCCCATTGCAGCAGCAGCAGCTAGATGCTGTAGTATGCGCTCTTCAAGCTCAGCATCATTACCAACAGGCAGCTGCACAAGCATATCAAGGTAATCAGGAAAGACTTAAAATGACACTTAATAACCAGCATGTTAGAAGAAATGTATCATTGAAGTGGTTTTGTAACACATACATGCTGCAGCTCAAAATCCCCAAGAGCAGGATGATGAAATATAGTTGTGTTTCGAGTTTGATTGGTTCTTATATTCCTCTCACGCTCTACTGCCTCGAGCAGCTCCTGACTGAGATATCAGTAAAACTAGAATTAGCCAGGAAGTAGCTACTTACTAGTCTAAGAGGATAAAAATGGTAAGCATAGTATTTGCACAGCCAAGAACTTGCCTGGTAGGATCCTTCATACTAATAGTCTGCCAACACATTGGGCACTGTGAACTTCTCTGACACCTATACAAAGTCCCATCAAGCATTAGCATGAAGAAAATTGAACAGGAACCAAATATAAAAATAGTCCGGGTCTACTAACCATTCTGCATGCATGGCTAAAATTCAATGCCTTTTGCACATATAAAATATTTTTACAAGATCAGAAAGAGTGGAATCTGATTTATACCAATAGAATATGACTAGCAACATTGATAGAACCAGACAGAAAAATAAGGAGAGCACGGCAACTACAACTAATATGAAAATTAAAAGGTCAAGCATTTTGATTACAACTGTTCATAAAGCCAGCGTGGAAAGTGTTTGTTGAGCATATGAAGTTATCACTAAATTTTGTCAGTAACAAAACAGTACAGTTCAATAATAGCTCATCCCAAGTCGAGAAAGCTGTATACTATAGAGATGACAAACAACAAATTCAGGGACAATTTCCATGTGCAAAACCCACCTATGTTACAGGCTAAGTAAAGGCAACAGATATGGTCCACTAAACCACACAAGTACCTAAGGCACGGAGATTTCAATGTTCTAAAATGTGCCCTTAGTGATAACCACTAACTTATGCACCAAGATGAATTACTGATGGAACTAGGTACTGTTCATGTGCAAGGTGGGAATAATATAAAAAACTGTAAGATGTAGGATGCATATATTAGACCTAGTAACATACCATTCAAGAATGCATTGGAGATGGAACTCATGTTTGCAGCCAGTCAACTAGAAAACAAAGCAAGAGAAAGATTTGGTTACAGAAATAACCCCTATATGCAAAATAGATCAACTAACAAAATGGCAACTTACCGCAGAAGGGTCACTCTCACAGAAAGCCTCAAGGCAAATGCTGCATGCATCATCACATGCATCCTGAATGCCACCCTCCACAAAGGCTGCAGCAGATGTCAAACTCTCCATCTTAGCTTTCTCATCAGTTTCAGAAGCCATTGCAATGGAATCACAGCCCTGAAACCAAACAGGAAAAAAAAAAAGGAGTTCAGAATCAAGAATTTAATTCTCCATAGCAAAAATATTGAGCTGCTGAATTGAGAGGAAAGACAAATATGTTCAGCTATGTATTAGTATTTATTACAAGATCAAATTCCTAACAGTATTCAGAAAGTTTTGACATATGGAAGTTATCTTATACATCTTTTATTGAACAGTCCAGCCGAGACACTAATCACACTAGACGAGGGAACACGATACTAGGAAAATTATCAATATAAAACAACACTTGGTAGGAAAACAACAAGATCCACTTTGCAGGATAGGAGCATCTTATCTTTCATTTTACATTCTAATCCAACAAGTTCTACATAATAACATCAACAAAGCCTTGACATATTTATGCAAGCAATGCTCTAGAAAAGCATTAGCAACCTCTAAAAAATGCACAACTTTTTAGTAAATCACAATCTAATCATTGGAGCAGCACAAAAACAGAAGGAAAAGTTAATGGCACACAGAATTATCTGTCTCAGCCAAGACATGGGCTCAGCATAAGTACTCCATAAAACTAGCAGACACATGAAAACTAATTTCAGAAATCAAAACTTGAGGTGCAAAACAAAAGATCACTGATTGTCACTGGTACTGATATCTCCCTTGCTATCAAATCATTAGACCTTCCACAAATTGGAACAAATGCATCTCAAGTTTCAAGGTGTAACAGGCAATAGAAGAATAGCGACACCAACTTCAATTTCCCGGTATGCATATTTGTGAATTTTGCCGAACACATCAGGGCTCTATTCCATACATCACACTCTCCTTAAAACAGCCCCAAGCATAGAGTCACACTCCTAACCACACAAATCACTTAAAAGTGAGTCCATTTCCGATCATGTAGCAATACCCAGTTACAGCGGTAAAGCCACGGCACACTCTGGTGCCAAGGCCCATTTCTGGATCAGCAACGGGCTAAGTGGGCCAGACTTGACACAGCGGAATACTCCACATTCTCTCACCTCAGTCAAACTGGACTCAAAACCCCAAGACATCAACTGTCAAATTTCTTCAGCACAAAACATCCTCAATCCCACAGAGGTCCTCACACAAATCCCCGCCTTAAGTATGGCCAAATGGCGAAACCAATGAATCCCCCATAAAAAAGGTTTTCCCCAAAGCAGAAGAGGAACACCAAAAAAAAGGCTACCGTATGGAGCTAATCTCCGGAATCACTCTGAATTCCCGCGTCCAGAACCCCAAATTCCCACCACACAACCCCCCCAACCAGCTCACCACGACGACGACGACCGCCCACCTAATCGCCCAGGACGAGAAGGCACAGGCACCTACCACACGGACCCGAATTCTCCACGAAGCAAACCCCAGACGATCCGCTTTCCCGAAACAAACCCAACCGCAATTGGAACGGCCCGAACCCTCGAATCGCCGCAGCAGCAGGACCCGACCGGCCACGCCGCGGTCAGAGAGGTGAGGAGCGAGGCACGCGGGGGGATCTGGCCTTACCAGGCACCGCCGGGCCGCCGGCGACTCGGCGCACCCCCCGATCCGGCTCGGATTCGATGCGTGTGGCGTGGGGGAGCACGAAACCCTAGCCCTCTCTCTTCCCCCTCACTCTCTCTCCCCTCCTCTCGCTCTGTGATTGTGATGAGGTGGAGACGGGGGACGGTCGATGGGGAAAGGCAGACGGAGAGACGAAAAGGGGTGAGACGAGCCACTCGGCCCCCACCGCCCGCTCGTGGGCCCCGCCGCCCCCCTCTCTCTCTTTGTCCACCACCACCGCACTCCTCCGTCCACCGCGCTGCCTCACGCGCTCACCCCATCTCCACGCACACCGACGCGTGGGTCCAGAAACTGATTCGGCCCACACGTCGGTGGGTTACGACTCGACGAGCCGTGGCCGTGCCTGGTTCCGTGGGGGAGTAGTTGGTGCGGGGCCACCGCTAGTCTGCTAGGACACGGCGGTGCGGTGCGGCAGGCAGGTCGGCCGGCCTCCGTCCAAGTACGTTTTGACCGCCCCGCGAGCGGGGCCCGCTGTTGGGCTGACGTCGACCCCACGTGTCGGCGGGTGCGGCGTGTGGGGGTACCGGGTACGCGAGCTGGGAAAGTTTGTTCGGTCTTTGGAGGTGGGGCTGGGAGCTGCAGTGGGTCCGGTGTGGCAGTGGGAGGCGGGTACAGCGAGGCCGTGAGGGGGCATGATTACGGGTGGCGGCCTGGCGGGGAGCGCGTGGGGCGCGGGGTTCGAGGTGGAGGGAGGGGTAACGGCACGTCGGCGTCGCGACCGGCCAGCGTCGTTGGGGATAATGTCAGAGAATATAATCTGGGCGGGTGGATGACACGTGGGGCATACGCTGTGGTAGCAGCCTCTGCCCCGTTTGAAATAGGGGCGATTGAGGCATTTCGTTGTGAGGTTTAAGGCCGATCCCAATCCAAATATCTTCATTTGTGGATAAAATCCGAGGGGATTGGTCTATAAGAGGCTGTGGTGCGATGGTCACGTGCGAGTTGGTGTTCGTCTTTGTCAGTTCGTACCATTATTGGTCGATAATAATGATGCACTTTAGGTAAATACGACGATCAATCACCTTAAAAGGTCTTATCTTTACATATAAATTTGGCTGCCACAATTTGGTGTGCTATATGGGCCTGTTTGGTTCAGCTCATCTGAGTCTTACTTATAAGCTGAGCAGGATTATTTGATAAGTCGCGATACGTAAAATCTAAGTTGAGCATTTGGCTGGCTCGATTATTTTGGGATGGATATTTTGCACTAGGAACCCTGATTTTTCTCAAACTATGTATCACTGTTTACTACTATTCCTGTGAGTCTATAACCTTACAACTGGACCCAAATAAAAGTTTTTATTTACATCCAGGTCCTTCTTTGTGGGAGAGACGCTACGGCTGCGGGCTCCGAGAGGGGAGGAGCTCCGGCGACCGACGGAGCTGCGGGCGGGCGGATCCGTCAGTGAGCTACTGGTGCATGGCGGATGAGAGGGGAGGAGCTCAGGCGGAGGAGAGCTCCCGTGAAGCGAGAAGCGAGGGCGGATCCGTCCGCGGGCTCAGCAAGGCGAATCACGGCAGGCAGAGCTACTGGCTGCCAAGGCGGATGAGAGGGAGGAGCTCCAGGCGGGAGGAGCTCCCGTGGGGCGGAGAGGCGAGGCGGATCCGCCGCGGAGCTATGGCTATGGGCGGATGAGAGGGAGGAGCTCCAGGCGGGGAGGAGCTCGGCCACGGCATGAGAAGCGAGCGGGCGGATCCGTCGGCCACTGAAGCTACTACTGCAGGCTCCGAGAGGGAGAGCTCCCAATGGGGGAGGAGCTCCAGCGAGGAGGAGCTCTGCGCACGGCAGATTCTGCGGACATGCGAGTCAGGAGTGAAGGAGACCCGTGGCCGCCAGGACGCGGCTCGCGTTTTCCAAATCGCGCCCTTCTGGCCGCTTTTCAATCGCCGTTCTTGGGGAGGAAATCGAACGCTGAACGCCGCGTTCTGATCGAGACCGTCATGAGAGCCGTTTACGGATTTTTCTCCTTCTCCCGTAACGACGCGTGTCAATGAAAAACTAAACAGGGCCTATATGCCTCGCTCTATATTACTCTTTTCATTCTAAATGATGAGACGTTTGTTATGTATTTAGATATATACTATGTCTAGATACATAATAAAATTAATATATCTACAAACCTAAAATGTTTGATAATTTGAGATTGTTGGAGTAAAATTAGACTGCCATACTTGTCTGGCGAAATAGGCTCATTTAAGCCAGTCTCAATGGGGATTTCATGGCCCTGTTACCAATGCATCCATATTTTGAAAATAGTGCAGAAGAGTTTTATCTCCATGAAACTCTCTCTACTCCCATAAAACTCTTATTATCTCTCTCTTCATCAATACGATGCCACATCAACCTATTTAATGCCCATAAAACTCTGATGAAACCCCACTGAGACCGGCCTTAGCATTGCCTTGCAGAAGCTAGAGTCGTAAAAGCATCCAAATCGTGGCTCCGCTGTTATCTTTATACCATGAAAACGTCAGCTCCTCCATTATTGCCATAAGCGCCCCTTTTTCTTGGTGATTTAGCGTAGTTATTATAGCTCACCGCAAGAGCTGAAACCGGAGCAGCATCAAACAAGCTTTGAGGTTCTAATTCCTAATCACCACTAAACGCTATGAGATTATCAACAGCTTTGTAGGCACTATAATTATTGGTATGGTATGGTTTAGTTTCCAAAAATTTTCACTCCAAACTATCATATCGAATTTTGCGGAACATGTATGGAGTATTAAATATAGATGAAAAAAAACTAATTGCACAGTTTGGTTAGAAATCGCGAGACGAATGTTTTAAGACTAATTAGTCCATGATTAGCCATAAGTGCTACAGTACTAACATGGCTAATGATGGATTACTTAGGCTTAATAAATTCGTCTCGTAGTTTCCAGACGAGCTATGTAATTAGTTTTTTTTATTAGTATCCGAAAACCTCTCCCGACATCCAAAACATCCGATGTGACATCTAAATTTTTTTATTTCGCGAACTAAACCTAGCCTATCCTATATTTGTTATTGGAGTTCCCATGTGAGAAGCTACTGGTATCGTACGAAAATGTTTCAAGCCGATTTCATCATTTGTGATTTGACACGTAGGAGCACGTCAACGATATATAAAAACATAAACAAGCTAAGCACTCTGCCTTGCTGTCATTTTCCCAAACTTTCCTAGATTTATTATTTGAATTTTCAAAAGAAACCGGTTTGAAGTGGTGCAGCCACAAAAGCCCCACCAGGATAATCCGTCGAGAGAATTTGCACTAAAGTCCAGTGGACTGCCACCGTGGCCCACCACCAGCGTCTGGCCGGCCCCGCTCCTCATCCTCCACCCGCCACTGCCTTCCCCGCCTTCGTCCCCTCCCGCTCGGGAATCCTCCGCCTCCCTCCCCACCCAGATTCCCCCCACCACCGCCAAGCCGCCACCGCACGAGACGACCCGACCTCCTCCCACTAAAACCCACACGGTCACGGGCACGCTCCACTCCACTCGCTCCCACCGCCCGCGCACAATCCAAACCCAACCGTCCCGTCCACCTCGGCGCCTCCGCGCCCCTCCCCGGCGCCTCCATGCCGCCGCTTGCCACGCGCGTCCACGCCCCGGTGCTCCTCGCCCCCGCCTCCCCTCGCCCAGCCCCGCGCCTCTGTTTAGCGAGCGGGGCCCGCGGCGTCGGCGGCGGGTTCAGGAGGGGCGCGCTGGCCTCGGAGAAGCCGGCGGCGGCGGCGGTGGCGGTCGCGGAGAAAGCCGACGGCGAGGGCGGAGGAGGAGGAGGAGAGGGCGAGGGTCCGTACGACGCGATTGTAATCGGGTCCGGGATCGGGGGCCTGGTGGCGGCGACGCAGCTCGCGGCCAAGGGCGCGCGGGTGCTGGTCCTCGAGAAGTACCTCATCCCCGGGGGAAGCTCCGGGTACTACCGCCGCGACGGGTTCACCTTCGACGTTGGCTCCTCCGTCATGTTCGGCTTCTCCGACAAGGTGGGTTCGCTAGTGTGGGGTTTTTTTTGGTGCTGCAGCCTGGGAAGTGGGAATTCGTGTTCAGGTGTGCTGACTGCCGAGGTTGCGATGCTCTAGAGAGCTTGGTGATTGCGATTGGTTTTGGGCTGCTGCTCAGCTGCAAACTGCGATAGGTAGTCTTCAGTTTCCTCTGCTCTGCGGCTGCTCTGTGCCATCGGATAAACCTGATGGAAGTGTAGGCCACACTATATTGCGTCTCAAATGTGCTAATATGCATGCCTAAGTGTCAGAGTGGCGTGCACTGCGTGATGCACACTATTGTGCATTGTTGGATCAAGGGGCATGCACGTTTATCTCATCAGCGCTTCAGCGAATTGCCATGAGTAGGTGAGCTATGGCCTCAGATGTGCATGTGTTACTGTCGGATGGTACTCGACTGGTTAGGATAGTAGTGTTGGTCTTATCGCTTCTTATATAACCACCCATTACAACTTTTAATCAGTATGACATATGCTGTTATGCAGGGTAATTTGAATTTGATCACACAAGCATTGGAAGCAGTTGGGCGTAAGATGGAAGTTCTACCTGACCCTTCTACAGTTCATTTCCACCTACCTGGTGATCTCTCTGTCCTTGTGCATAGAAAGTACGAAGACTTCATCAACGAACTTATCAGCAAATTCCCTCACGAGAAAGAAGGGATCCTTAAATTCTACGATACATGCTGGAAGGTACTGTCTTCAGTTTCTTACCTGTATCTCAGGACTCTTGTGTTATACTCCCTCCATTCCAAATGATAAGACATTTTGGCTTTTCTTGATACATAGCTTTTGCTATGCATTCCGATGGAAAGGTTGTCTAGAACGAAGCGTAGCGTTATAGGTGTTCGAGCGAAGCGAGGTAGAAACGTTCTTGCCCCTAAGGGTAAGGTTGTTTATACCGAGCATAGCGAGTTAGACGAACGGAGTGAGCAATAATTGACCGTAGGGAGATTATTGCGAACGTTTAGACATGCACTATGCCTAGATAGATAATAAAAGCAATGTATCCAGAAAAGCCAAAATGTCTTTTAGTTTGGAATGGAGGGAGTAGTTGATAGTGCAACGCTAGAAATTACAATTATTGTCTAACAATCACATTTCAACAGATCTTCAATTCACTAAATTCGTTGGAGCTGAAGTCTCTAGAGGAGCCCCTTTACCTTTTTGGGCAATTTTTCCAGAAGCCTCTGGAATGCTTAACTCTAGGTATATAGACTGCAGCCCTGTATTCAAATTGAAAAATGTACTATTTACACTCTGTAGAGAAATTACACAAGGAATTAGCTAAATTAATATGAAGCAAATGCATTCTCACAAAAATTGTAAGAATTATTTGCTGTGTGTTGGAGTTTTTTTTTTAATAGTACATCATATTTACAATAAAAGTCACAGGTCTATCTCCCTTTCAGCTTATTATTTGCCACAGAATGCTGGGGATATTGCTCGCAAGTTCATAAAAGATCAGGAGCTACTCTCCTTCATAGATGCTGAGGTGTGAGAGATTTGTGAGTTGATTCACTTTTCAAGTTTTCCTCTTTGGAGCATGTGATCTTCAGTCAATACTAGTTTAGTCGAAGGCTGATGACTATTAATTGTTTTTGTAGTGTTTTATTGTGAGCACAGTCAATGCCTTGCAAACACCCATGATAAATGCAAGCATGGTAAATTCAATCTTGATCTTCTGGATCTTCATTTCAAATTCATTTGGGCTTATCTCAATGCCAATATAACAGGTCTTGTGCGATAGGCACTTCGGGGGGATTAATTATCCAGTTGGTGGCGTTGGTGGTATTGCAATATCCCTGGCAGATGGCCTTGTTGAAAAGGGCAGTGAAATACGTTACAAGGCGAATGTAACCAATGTTATTCTTGAAAATGGAAAGGCTGTGAGTTATCTTACTGACTTAAATACCTGGACTTATTGGGTTTTTGTATCTTAGCTGATAACTTCTGTACTCCAGGTTGGGGTGAGGTTATCAAATGGGAAGGAGTTCTTTGCTAAAACGGTGATATCAAATGCCACTAGATGGGACACGTTTGGTAATTCTAATATATCTTCGATTGGAACTTTCAAAAGAGGAAAAACTAGCTCTTTCAGTTTCATTAATTTACTTTTTTTTGAATGTACAGGAAAACTCTTGAAAGAAAAAGAACTTCCAGAAGAGGAGAAAAACTTTCAAAAGAATTATGTTAAGGCACCATCATTCCTTTCAATTCATATGGGTGTCAAAGCGTCAGTTCTGCCTGCTGGCACTGACTGCCACCATTTTGTACTTGAGGTATGCATTGTGTTCACTGGGAATGCCATATTGTTGAGAGTTTGACATAAGTAACATTTTCTTTGTATGACCTGTTTGAGTCCGTAATTGGCAGGATAATTGGAATAATTTGGAAAAGTCTTATGGAAGCATATTTTTAAGTATCCCTACAGTTCTTGATCCATCATTAGCTCCTGAAGGACATCATATACTTCATGTATTTACTACTGCAGGCATAGAAGACTGGGAGGTAAGGACAGTGTTCTAGCTGAAATGCAAATTTCATTAATATTGAGATACCATGTATTTTAGCGCTGTTTGTTTTCATCATTGAAAGGGTCTTTCTAGGAAGGAGTATGAAGAGAAAAAAGAGGCGGTGGCCAATGAGATTATAAGAAGGCTTGAAAAGAAGTTGTTTCCTGGTCTTCAAGATTCAATAGTCCTCAAAGAGGTACCTTCTTGTTTTCCATGTGATTCTATTGATACATGTTCCACAGTTCGATTTTTGTTAATTCTTGTATAAACTTTAAACTGCCTTCTTAGCAACTGTTAAGAGTTGATGGTGAAAGGAAGATTATCATATGCTTGAATATGTATAAGATTATGGATTATGGATCAGACCATCTGTTATATTTGTCAATTTTTGATGACTTTGCTCACAGCAATATCTTTCCAGTATGTGGATATCCCTTGAGGAGAGTAATGATCACTGACACAAGTCTCTTGAACAAACTCGTTCAAATGATCCATATCAAGTAATTGTAGTGTGGTTTCCATACCTTGCTTTAGGGCGCAGCTTCTTTATGGGCAATTGTCAAAGTCAGTTGAGTTGTGAGTTAAAAAATATTGACTTCTATGAATCACATGTCTAGCAACATATAATAACGCAGAACTTTTGTAGCCTAGTCACACGTGCTTTGGTTATATGCAGTAAACTTAACTGGAACTGTTCTGACTTCTGCTACCAGTAACTCTTCTAATGCAAAACTTGTTTTGTTTCATCAGGTAGGCTCACCAAAAACTCACCGAAGATTTCTTGCTCGAAATGATGGTACATATGGACCAATGCCACGGGGTAAACCGAAGGGCTTACTGGCTATGCCTTTCAATACTACTGTAAGTATCAGAAATCATCTCCCTTTGGGTGACTTGATGTACTGGATGTCCTCACAATGTTATAAGATTTGTCGAACTGAAACTGGGGTTCTCAATTTACAGTCAATAGATGGCCTTTACTGTGTTGGTGACAGCTGTTTTCCTGGGCAAGGTGTCATAGCTGTAGCATTCTCAGGGATCATGTGTGCTCACCGAGTTGCTGCAGATATTGGTAAGTTCAATTTTTACTGTGTCTGTCCTGAACAGGGATAGCTTGATGTTTCACTAAGACAGAATTAGTCACATGTTTGATGCTAGGTCTTAGAGTAGAACTCTTGATGAACAGTGCTATGAGAATGGTTTTCAACTCACAGTTTCTTTTTACTGCTTTACCCTTCTTCCAGGACTAGAGCAAAAATCTCCAGTTCTAGATGCTGGTCTTCTTGGGCTACTCAGATGGTTCAGAACACTTGCATAGGACTATCAGACAGTGGAAAATGGACTTCATCTTGTTTCAGAAGGCTGATATTTCACTAGAGTTAGGATTCTGCACTTGTTATGATGATCTGGAGCTGCAGCCTTTGTTATCAGCAGCGATTTCTCTTAACTCTCAAAAGGAAAAAAAAGAAAGAAATATAAATAGGTGTACAGGTTTCAGATTTCAAATTCTATAATTAGGGGTACCTCAGCTTTTGTCTGTTGTGTACCTCAGCTGATTACCACGATAAGCAGAGCTGTACATTTGGGAGCAATGTAAATCATGTTACCTAAGGACTTTGAAAGTTCTGTTTTGGGACACCCTTCAACTCTCTGAATATACAAAAGCATCCTTCAACTCTGAAGTCTGAATATACAAAAGCGTCAAATGTGGTTTTGCCGGACGGATGCTTCCGCCACCCAAAGCTGTGGGGTGGGTCGAAATAGTCTCAGTCAGATTCAATGCTCTGCCCGACAAAGGTGCCTAGCAACCAAGCGTGCACTATGGTCTACCCTTAGTTTGTCTAGCACTGGCAGTATGTGATCGCCCATCACAAGCACCTGCGGGTAATTGTGCTGGGTTTATATTTATATAGTATTTGGTTATACTTTCAGAGTCCAGCACAATATGTTAACCAAAGTGTCTGAAGCTGCGTTTAGTTGACAAGGTAACGGTGCGCTTCTGCGCATATAGAAGGCAAATGCAACATTTCCTTTTCCTTTCCTGGAGGAAACCAATTATCAATTGCAATATTGCATCACTCAGATACAAGTTACATGGTATGCCAAACAGTGCAATTGTTCTCAGCTAAATTCTTTAAAAAAATATATATATTCTCGATACAGGTTGCATGGCACAATAACAATACAATCGTTCTTGCACTAAATTGTGTCAAAAAATTGGATGGCATAATGTGGCAGGTCATGGTACAAATTAAATCGGATAGTCAGTTCGCTAGATTCCGGGTGACTGCCATGCCAATCGGAGGGCTCATGATCATTGTCCACCAAGAAGGTACTGCAGACTGCTCAAGGAAAAATGGGCATAGAAAATTGCTTCACTCTTACAAAAAAAATGGATCCACTCAAACATGAAGATCAGAGACCTTGCCGTTGTGAAACTCAGAAGGAGAACTTGAATCCTCCACTTTTGGCATCGGCAGCAGAATCCCAGAACGACGCTTTCTTCTTCCGAGCAGCGGCCTTCTGCTGAACCTCAAGCTCAAGCTGCTTGATCATGCCAGGGTGAGCTGCCTCGATGGCACCCCGGAACTTGTCATGCAGATTCACTCTGTCCTTAGTCCCGGAGACAAGCTCACTAGCGTTGGGCTTCTTGAGGAAATCAAGAACATTCAACAAATTCCTCCTGCATGTTTTGCAGGAAAAGAAAGAGGCAACACATCATACATAAGCTAAATATTTTGAGAAAATAGACCAAAAGTTCTCAAATAAGTTGCATAGTTCTGAAAAACGTCCATGCAATGGTTGCAAATTATAGTTGAGAATTCTCTGCTATATTCATGCGAAAATCTAGAGGAAAAAATCGTATGTACTTCCAAAATAACCAGGATAGGGAGCATCAGATGACCAGATAGCATCAAGTTCACAGAACAGACAACTGCATACCAAGCAGCTAACAAGGCTAACTGGACAACCTTAGTTGAATTGCGAATGTCCAGATTGAACCCCTACACAAAGAACCCAGCTTCATCATTCTTCCATATCTAGTCAGAATCCTAATTCCTAAACAACAATTCAAAGATGAATGGAGGACAGCATCAAGTAGAAAGCAGAGAATTTATGTTCAAAGGTAATGTTGTCCCCAAAGGACAATTCTCATTCATTCATATATTGATCATGTTATCATTTTGGGTAAACAAATTTTCTTAATTTGGGTACAACTCATAAGTTTTACATTGACAGGGAGACCTACACTTTGTACGCTAAAGTAAGATAAATATACTAACATGAATCATACATGATCAAACAGTGCTGTCATTTGGCCATGCAAGCAAGCTAAGCATAGTTTGTGAAATGGCATGACAAAAAAAGCCTATTGAAGAGCGCAACTATTTGTAGATAAGAAAAGACAAAAGATGAATTCTTTAAGGTGATTGCTTAAGTGAAAGACAACACATATGACATGATTACAGAAAAAAACAATGAAATTGTTTGCGCTGTGAAATCTAACCTGCTCACATAATTCTGGGTAATGGCAATTGACTCTTCAAGATTGATCACCAAATGCCACCATCCATTAGGCACGAAAACCACCTCCCCAGCTCGGCACACACACTCAATAGGCCTCTTTTCCCAGGTCTTACAAGCCCCGTAGAAGTTCATGAACCACTCCATGATAGACACAGGGCTGGTGACCTCTGCTCCATCAGCACTAGGGTGGACACCAGGCGGCACAACCTCTGGTGGGAACATCACCCACTTCTTAGCCCCCTTGATGATAGCATTCCATGCCGATGTCGAGTTGGGATCGACATGGAACGATGAGCCTGACCCTGCTGGTCCAATGATAACCCATCTGTAATCCGGCCTCTCCTTCCCAAGAACACTAAACAGGTCCTCCCTGAAGTACTCCGGAACCTCATAGTCCCTCCCCATCTCTGGTACGTTCTCAGCAAACTTCGCATCAAACAGATACAATGGCCTCTCCTCCTGGACATTGTCAGCGTACCGGAAGTACCTATCCAATGGCATGCTCACTGGCCCGACCGCGAACTCCTTACCCGCCGAGATCTCCAGCAAGTAGTCTCTGCTCCATTTCTGTAACGCCGGCCAGACATCGATGCACCCCTCCAGCAGCACCGGCCTGTTGGGTTCCTCGACCTCGGCGACGAACTGCTCCACGGACATGCCGCGGCGGCGCTCGATGTTGTCCCGCGCGAGCCACTCGTGCCGCATCTCCATGTTGGCGCAGAGCCAGCTCTGGAAGAGGTAGTCGGAGTAGAAGCCCTTGATCTTCAGAGCGCGCGGGGGGATGAGGTAGGCCTGGCCGCCGCGGGAGGCGCCGGCGATGTAGGTGGCGCGCCAGGACCCGGCGAAGTCGAACGTGCCGCCGAGCTCGTGGAGGACGAGAGCCCGCCAGAGCGGGTCGTGGGAAGCGACGACGTAGAGCGCCTTGGACGCGGCCGAGAGCGCCGCGAGGTCGCGCGCGGGGAGCAGGCCCAGGACGTCGAGGAGCAGGTCGTCCGGGAGCGGCCGGAGCGCGCCCAGCCCCGCGTCCCGGAGGTTTCCGCGCGGGGTGGCGGAGAGGAAGAGGTTGCCGAGCGGCTCGACGAGGCATCCGATGTCTCTGGAGGTGGCGGAGCCGGAGCTTTTTAGGTGGAAGGACGGGTCTCCAGCGGAGGCGGCGAGGTGGTTCTCCTTTGGGTGACTGCGTCTGCGGCCGCGCTTGGATTTGCGCTTCCGTTTGAGGGGGAGGAGGGAGTGGAAGGCGCCAGGCATGCTCGGCTCCGGGCGTCGGGAAGCGGCGGCGGCGGCGGCGGCGGAGAGGAAGGAGGACCAGAGGAGTTTGGGGTTTTGGGGGAAGAGTGGAAGACTGGCGAAGCTCGCCTTTCGATCAGAGATGGACGGACGAGACGTGTGAGGAAAATAATAAGCTGTCAAATTTCCGAGCGAAAACAACGGGACCTTGTTTTGATGTTGTATAGTATTATAAGAAATCATATAAGAAATAGAAAAAATCTACGTAACCTCATCACGTTTAGCCTGTGGACTACTTACGCTCTGTTTGGTTGAGCTGTGGCTGTGGGAGAAAGCTGCTGTGGGCTGTGAGCTATGGAAAAGCTGCTGTGGGCTGTGAGTTGTAGAAAAGCTGAAAGCTGTTTGGTTAAACAAGTATAAAATATACCTTTTATCTTTATCTCTCTTGAAACAACTATAGAAGAGCTTTTTATTCCACTAATTTCGAAAAGCAGAAAGCCAAAAGCCAAAAGCAGGGTCAAACCAGCTTTCAAAAATGAACTACGGAAAATCAGCTGCTTCTGAAAAAACACCCTCCAAAAACAGCCTCTTTGGTTGGGCCTTTGGCTTTTGAGGCCAAAAGCCAAAGCCTAAAAGCCCAACCAAACAGGGCCTTAACCCCTGAAGTACAAAACCACCTATCTAGCACCCTAAAATTTGCCAAACCATTAAAAAAAACCCTGTCCTGGTTTTGCTATCCGGTTTTCTCGGTTGGCATTCCACCGTGGCAAAGGATGACATGTTGGCGGTGAACCCTTTGTATCTAGAGGGACAGCAAATTATCTCCTGTGGGCTATGGCTTCGTCATCGTCAGCTCGATGGTGTGCTTTAACTTATATAAGGCCCGTGTTGAAAGACGTGATAATTATCTCCTGTGGGCTATGGCTTCGATAGGATAGGTTGTGGAGTTATATAAATATATATCAGCTAACAAACTCTTGATTTGCATGGTCGTGATAGTTAGTTGTGTTGATGTAGTCATACGTGAAGATAGCTTGTTGTAACAAACTCACGAGTCACGACCAGCTCTCTCGGCTTGTTAGCTTCTGTACTCGCATCTATTTGGCTCTTCCTTGATATAATTAACACGTCCCGTCGGGAGAGTCGACGGGCCTGCTTGCTTGAACTTATAAGCTAGAATCTAAAGTATTTTTCTCTCACAATAAAATAGGTTTAGCCGGTTTATTAGCCGGCTTTAATACTGCCTCTCTGAACAATTCACAGTCCGGTGATGCACGCACGCGCAGCAGACTTCTTCCAACTGCGTCGCCACCATTCTCGTCCACGCGCTAGGTAGTAGTGCCTAGCTGCTTCGTCTCATCAGCTTGCTCGTGCTGCGCTGCCAACGAACCAAGCGACGCCGGGCAGTGCACGGCAGCGGCGACACATCGATGGAGAAGCAGCAGCACATCGACGGAGAAGCAACACAAAGATCGAGCGGGCACTGCGCGGCAGCAGCGACGCCGCCCCGGCTGCGCGCCAAGTATGAGGCAGCTCATCATCCGCCGAGCCTAGGCGTTGTACTTGTACCTGACTACCCGTGCGTACTCCACGCACACGCTCTACTCTTCGGCATGTTTCTTTGCCACGGTGGAATGCCAAGTGAGCAAAACCGGGGCAGGGGTTTTTTTTGAATGGTTTGGCATTTTTAGGGTGTTGGATATATGGTTTTATACTTCAGGGGTAAAGTAGTCCACAAGCCAAATTTTTCCTATAAGAAATTGTAGTTTTAGAGCCAATTTCCGAGCGAAAACAACGGACTCTTTTTGGGTGTTGTAGTATTATAAGAAATCATATAAGAAATTGTAGTTTTAGAGTCACTGATATGTAAAACCGTGGTTTAGAAAAAAATGGTCTAGGATGGAGTTTTTAAAACTCCAAAAAGACTATAGTTTTAACAATACCATGGTATTCAAAACCATAAAGTTTGTTGCACCCAAACATTTCATGACACTCTAAAACCAAAGTATTTCATAAAACCATGGTATTTATCTAAAACTCCAAAAATACTTCGTATCCAAATAGGGCCTAGTTCGTTTTCCATTGCATTTTTTTCCAGGGTTTTTTAAAAATCTGCCGGAATTGATAGGTTTCATTTTCCACTGCATAACTTTTTCCCCGAAGGTTTTTAAAAATCTCCCGGAATTGATAGGGTCCTGCAATGTAGGCTCCAAAACTTTTTCTTAGTCCTTTAACTTTTAAGTGATTCATTCTGCATTACTCGGTCCAATTATCAACTTGAATTTACACTTCAAATGGACCATTTGAAAAGTTGAAGGACTCAGATGGTCACATGAGAGTTTATAGACCCAAATGAGATTACAAGAAAAATTTAAGGACCCATAAATTCTAGGATTGAATCTCTTTTTGGCCCATCAACTCTTACGTTTGTCTAATTTTAATCTCCGAAAACTAAATTAGGTAACTTTGGCATCTCAACTATCAGAACTGATGAATTTTGACCTAGGTGCCTGTTTTGAGTGGTTTTTAGGTGTCTCAGGTCCACTGCTAATGTTTATGGAAGGAACGCTCGTGCAAATCAACGTGGCCAACCTATTAAGCCGGTACAACTCGTCAACTTGGACCGGACCAACTCAAACCAATAATTAGTGAAACCACTACCAACCTGGTACAAACTAAGCCAAGCGAGATCAACAATCGTACACACGACTAGGGTTACAAAACCAGCCAAATCCGCTTCGAACCCATGAAGGGCTAGGGTGAGTTGCATCTTGTTGACGAGATTCTGGAGCTGGTTAGTCCAAGCTAATCCATGGACCCAAATTTTTAATTAAAATTGAAAAAAATAGGATGACATCTCTATATCTAAGTTTCAGTTGCATTGCATATAGATCGTAAAAGTGGAAGTTTATAAACCATCACATATGGTGCCTTACTAGCTTATGGGCGCTTATCTGTGGCTGCCACCAAACTAATCACGCCTATTGCTCCACATGCGGAAGATAATATGGACGTGGTTGTCTGTCGTGGCTTGCTCCTTCCATTGGCGTGGCATTGGTGGCAGTAGGCATCCGATGAAACCAGTAGCAGGCAGAAGATGGGACGAGATGGAGGGTCGTGAATCGTGATGACAGTAAATCAGTAATGCACGTCGTCGTTTCACTACTAGAAGGGGACATTTTGATTAATATATGCGAGTTGATTAATGTGTGATTTGTACGATAATGTGCTGGTCTTTGGTGGTCAAAGATTATTGTATTGATTTGGTTAATCTGTGAGAAAGTTATCAAGGGGACATTCTGACTAATAACTTGCTAATAGCAAGTTTTGATGAACCGAATGAATTTTGGTTCTTTTGCTATTGTTTTCACTGAGCTGCTTCTTTAGTTTTTTAACCTATCAGTATATTTGGTACAACTGTAGCTCTGAATTTCCACACCTCTTTCTCGATGCCACCTAGGGCCTGTGCGTCAGCTCTTCATCTCCTCTTTCTCCTCCTTCCTGCAGATCGGAGCATAGCCGAGGATGGGCACGCGGCTGGGGTGCGCAGCCAGAGCACACGGAGCACACCGGGCACCTCGAGCATGGATGCGTGGCCAGGGTGGAGGATGGTGCGACGGCAAGGGAGGACGCGAGGTGGTGAGAGAGGAGCATGCAGGGGCGACTTTGGCGAGGATGGGGGCGGCAACGGCGCTCTAATTTTCTTCGATATGTCGCGAGTTCATGACCGGAGCTGATAGCGCTGGGAGAGGGCAATCACTGGTGGAGGCGGGGGGGCTCGTAGGGGCCATGGCCCCCTTAACATGCCACAACAATTTTTTTACTAGTATAAATTTATGATTTTTATGTACATTAAAAGGGAGAATATAATAAAAATCATGTCATATAATAAAACATCAATACTTTTTAATATGTATTTGGTCAAAATTAAGAATCTTTGACTCCTCGGAATGTAAGATTTATATTCTTTGTGGGACGCAGGTAGTATCTATTAATTTCTCTAGATAATAAAATTATACAAAATACAACTAGATAATACTACAAAGTGCCTTAGAAAGACTGAGAGATCTTGTTACGAAATCACTCCAGACGCCTGTTAAGTTGTCGTCTATCACAAAAAATACGCCTTTGATCCTAGAATATATATATATATATATATATATATATATATATATATATATATATATATATATATATATATATATATATATATATATATATATATATATAAAAAAAAAATACGAGCGCCAATATGAAGTCGACGAATTAAGCTAGATGGTAATCATAAGGAACCTAACCAGTTTTGTTTACAAGTTGGATCTTTTTTATCGCCCTCGCCCCCTATGCATAATTTGTGGCTTCGCCACTGGGAGCAGTAACTGGTTGGACTGGTTTGCACTGCAATCTATTACGAGCTTATCCATCCAAACAGAAAACGAGAAAATTGCAATTATAGGACGCGAAACAATGCGCTTCGTTATTATAGGACTCCAAACATCGACTTCGCTAAAACGACCCTTCAAACGTTGACACTTTGTTATACATGACATTTGGTCTTTTTAATCACTTTTCTCAACTAAATACTTGTATTTTGTCATGTGACCGTATTGCCCTCATGCTTCAATTGACGTGCTCGTACCCTTCCGTCGCAGCGAGCGCAAAGAGATTCTTGGGGGCAGCCAAGATGAACTCGATGCAGTTGGCCTTGAGCTTGGCGCACCCGTGTTGCTCGGCCAGCGCCAGCGTGGTGGTGACGTTGCTCACGCTGATGTCCATGGACACCTTCTCCTCGCACATCCTCTTGAGCCGCTCCAGCCCGTACCGGTCCATGGTTTCCAGGAGATGCTGCGCCATCGCCGTCACCTGCCACCCGCTCCGCTCCAGCTCCGGCGCCGTGTCGGTGTAGATGAAGCGGAGCATGGCCCTGAACACCTCCGCCTCCATGTCCTTGACCTCCATGCACGGCGCGGATGTGGACGCCTCCTTCGTGTGCCCGTACAGCTGGGCCATGAACACGGGCGACCTCGTCGCGAGCACGGACCGGTGCGCGGGGACGGACTCACCGGAGACGTGGAACGTCACGTCCGCGCCCTTCTGGCTCCGCAGCAGCTCGCCGAATTGCCTGTGCAGGTCGGAGGACGGAACGCTCGGGGGCGGGCCGGCGTCCGACGCCACCGCATTCTTCGGTTCCCCGAGCAGGACGGCGCGAACTGCACGAGGATGGAGTCGTCTTTCAGGTACCGACGCTGCCTACCTTCCAGCTCGCTTCGCCTGACGAGGTAGACGTCGTGGAAATCGTATCTGTGGAACGAGGCGGAGGAGATTTGGTCCGGGGAGTCGCCTAGTCCCGATTGGTTCGGATCCACCAGGCGGCAGGCGAACGACGCTGCCACCCTGCCGCCGGCTGCTTTGCTCATTAGCCTGAGGCGGGACATGACCCAGCTAGCGCCGTCGGAAGGGTGGTTCGGCGGCCCCACCGACCTGTTGGCAATACGGTCACATCAGTGCAAAATACATGTATTTTAGTTGAGAAAAGTGATTAAAAAGACCAAATGTCATGTATAACAAAGTGCCAACGTTTTAAGGGTCGTTTTAGCAAAGTCGATGTTTGGAGTCCTATAATAAGGAAGCGCATTGTTTCGCGTCCTATAATTGCAATTTTCTCAACAGAAAACAACGGTACCCTTTCATGCTGTAAAAGGATGACGGGCATAAAACGTGGAACCAAACAGCTCCGACAATTATTCAAGTAACTTTGTATTAACCAAATCTTGAAGGGAATTTGAATGCGGTAATCACAAATCTTGCGATGCAATTTCCAGGCTAGCGTCCACATCCGTTCATCTGCCCGTCCGTATCATAAAACTCACTGTTGTTGCCCTTAGATGATGAACGTCCTTAGCCAATACAGTCGATGTGCGATCCTACTGCATGGTTGGAGTGAGGTGAACTAAAGCTCAGATGCGTCGTCTTGTCCATGGTGCCTGATCAGGATATATTACGAGAGGGAGGAGGTTGATCGGCTAGACTTGACGATCCCGGGACAGCAGCAGTGCGGTGGGCACTGGTGGACATACCTGTACCCACCGGGCACACCCAGGGGGGTGGGTATAATTTGTGAACGGGTAAGGATAATCTTGGATTTGGGTACGGGTTATTATCAAACTTATGGTCAATGGCGGCATCGCTAAATTCAAGCAAAATCCATCGTGATACGTGCCACCTTCAACCTCCCTGTCTGTTGTCTGCTTCCGTGATGCAGGCTGTCGCGCATCTAGATTGAGACTTGGGAGTCAGCTGGCCGGCCGGATTAGAGCTTGGGAGTCCAGTAGCTTGGCTCGTCATGTCCGACTCCGACGCCTCGTGCTTCATCGAGTCAGTATGGACAGGACGACTAGCGCCGGACCTCTGGCCCAAGGCCCGTGTCCAGACGCCCACGCCGCACTCCGTTTTCCACGCACAAGCACTCCAAGCCCGTGCTCGCACCAGCACGGCCCCTGTGCCGAGGTTTCACGCGCCCATGCGCAGCCCATGCCTCCTACGCCGACAGACCGCGCCCAGGGACCGCTCGTGCCCCCTCCGTCTCTCACACGCATTGCAAGATGTGCAATATCCGGTCTAGTTTTGAAACATTCAGATGCAACATTTGCAAAACATTACGTCTGAAAAACAAATGAAACACTTGAAATATGCGTATGAAATACTTGCAAAAACACATGAAAAACGCTTGAAATCATTGCAAACATACATAACATCTGAATAAAACACTTGCAACCAATATGTGAAACATCTGCAACATCCAAATAAACACACTTGGAACATACGTCTGAAAAAAACAGATAAAACATTAGGAACAGAAACTTGCAACATATGTGTACAACCATATGCAACATCCCGATCTACTTTTGCAACATCCATATGAAACACTTGCAACATACCTATGAAATATCTGAAACACTTGAAACATATGCTTGCAACATCCGTTTTTCACCCTTCTTCCGGACGACGCAGAGCAGAGTGGGGAACGGCCAGTTCCGGCCAGCCGTCAGCCGAGGATGGCCGTACGGCCTGGCAGCCGCCAGCTACGCTTGGGCCCGACCAGCGACAACCCCCTCTCCTGGCCGCCTGGCCACACACTGTAGCCGGAAGAAGCCACAGATCTCGGCGAGGTCGGAGAGGATGCCCGCGAGGAGTGAGGGGCCAGTGTCGCGGCGGCGGGGTGTGGGGACGGGGAGCGGCACGCATTGTGGTGGCCCGTTAGGGTGGGTGGCTAGGAGTCGGTGGGGGCTGGATTGAGGAGCGGGTGCAGGAAGCAACACAGTGCTCTCGTATAAGAAGGTAGCGGCTTTGTTTCCCATCTATAGGAAGAAGAGGTGCTGACGTTGGAGCTTGCGTGTAAGAGAGAGGGAGGTAATAAGTGGGGTGGGCCAATTGGGTTGCTGGCTCTTTGGCCCAGGTAGAGGGAGCGAGCCCGTCCATCCGGGAGTCATGAGGCGGACGCCCGTGACATATCATTATCGTTGTTCTTGCTGCTCCTCTATGCACTCGCCTGGCTTATCACGTCCCTTTCAAGACTTCTTGTTTTAGTAACCTTTTTTTTTTGCAAATTACACAAGTACAGACACAGACACTCAACACGCACGCGCACTCACCCCTATGAACATACGCACGCAAAGTATGTACAATAACTTTCATGAACATGTAAAGTTTCACCTGTTTTTGTTCAGAATCTGTGCAGTTGATCCTAGCCCTGCAAATCCGTTAGGACGAAACCTCCTAATCCCAATACCCGACATGCTTCCATACAGGAATTTTATTGAAATTATTGGTTTTGCTAATTTCATGTACGTCGGGTAAAACTTGAATTATCGAGTACCTGGAATTTCGGGCAATGCTTTTTCAAGGCCAAAGTCGAGTAGCAATTTCTAATAACCAAAGTTCCAATTACCCAAATTACCCAATCCGAAATTTTGGGTTGCCCCAATGGCCAACCCTAATTGTACTGTAAAGGCAAAGATATATTAAGCTTGTTGTGTTGCGTTTCAGAGCCATTTGTTCTCTCAAAACCTAAGTTGTGATCCATTCATCTAAGAAGGATCCAAAGCAAAAGCAGTTAGTACATCGGTTAATTTGAGCCCTGTTGTGAGCACTGGGCAAAGATTCTTTACCAAGATGTAATACGTTCATGTCGGCCCCATACAAAATATGGCAATAATATCCTGCAGTTCTTCCAATGTTTCGGCCCCATACAACCCTGCAACGCATGCACATTAGTACGTACAAAATCCCATTCTATATTTTATCGCCATTTGACGATCTGCACGATCCTGAAAATGGTACTATACTTGCTCGCAGCTCATCATATTCCGGCTGCTGGCAACCAGCAGTTAATTATGACTGATAAAGGGACAAAAGAATCTTGATTCGTTACTGATAGTTTGGAGTATTGTCCTGGCTGTCTTCAGATTGTTGCTGGTTTTCTATACATTGCCAGCTTGTTTAATTAGTTATAAAACTTCGGCGGCAGTATGTCATCAGTATGGCGTGCACAATATCTTAATGGTTCATGCATGATTAAGCTCGTGTATGGTCTTTAATCTAAAAATGTCTCAGCTGTCTCTTTCTTGGAAAAAAAGAGCTTGTCAATCATCCATGGGTAATGTTCTAAAAAACGTTTTTTTTCTACTTTATTCTTTTGAGAGAGGGGAATACGGCGCCATAGAGGCAATCTCTAATCAGTGGCTCCATTAGCAGAGGAGCTTCACAGCTTGTAGCTCACATGCTGGGGTTCTCACACTTGGTGTGCAACATGTTCAGCAGTCAATTCTTAAAAGTTAGAACCTGATACTCTAGTTATGCATAGCAGCCGTCGGATCTAGCTAGACACATACTTGCACCGTGCAAAGAATAACGTAGAAGATCGTATAGAACCTTAGATGATCCGCTTGAAGTAATTACGCTGAGAGAACAAGATTTTAATTGTAAAAAATTACAATTGACTGTCCCATCTCTTATTGTTAAACATACTGAACATAGTATAACAAGGTTTTAATTTAGCCTAAGCATGATCACTAACTCAAGCCTACAGAAATTAGATATTAGGTACTCACCGGTTTTCAGATGCCATCTATATATGTCTTTGTACTCGATGTAGAAGTGACGTAGATGAAGCAAATCCTTAGTCTTACCAAATTGGAGCTTGACCCCCCTGGTTGGTGAAGAACACAAAGTAGATCTATAGTAGGAGCACCTAGACATGGATGTCGTGCTTCCAAGACCCTTTTGTGCCTAATAGATCACTTCTAGGTTGATGTATCCAGGTAACTAGTTTGGGGTGAGCTCCCTCTTATTCATAGCACTGTGGGTCTAGGACCCATGCCAAAAAGGACATAGAGTTGCCGCCGATCACAACAGTGACTTACCTAATATATTAGGCAATATTTTTGGTGGATTCATTACTTGTGTGCCAAGTTAACATGTTCCAAGATAAGACACCCTCGTTTAGCTAATCAATGATGATACTCATTAGTTTTTTTATTCGGTGGCTCTCTCTTTGTGGGCCTTTCTATTTTTTTTTATCCAAGTTATAAATTGCGATAATGATAGGCCACGGTCGTCCGTCTGTGACTTCTTATGCGACGCTGGCTCGCATTTAGCGGGCCCCATCTCTCTATGTCTCTCTGAAACAGAAAAACGAATCCCCACTAGCTCATCCTTATTCGCCCGATGCCTGACGCAGCAGCGTGGCCGCTCATTCGTTCGCGCCCCTTCCCTGACCACACACTCGTCGGCTGCCGCGCCGTGCCCCACCCCCCACGCCCCATCGCTGGCCGCGGCAGCAAGCTCGTCCCCAAACATCTCATGCGGCGCCGCTTCCTTCCTTGTCGTCTCCGTCATGCCATCGTCTGTCTCCCATCGCCGTCATGCACGCCGCTGACCTCGCCATGGCCGCTAGGGTGCATGTGCTGTGGCACCTCAGGTCTTCCCCGCCCAATCAAGGGTACCCACGAGCGCGGGCGGTGCTGGTGGTGCTCGTGCGCCACGGCGCCGACGGTGGCTCTGACCCCGACGACCAGAGTCGACCGGCCCGGCCTTCCCCTCTCCTATGTTGCATATGTATGTTTCAAGTGTTTTAGGCATTCCAGATGTATGTTGTAATTGTTTTATCTTGATGTTGTAAAAGTAGATCGAGGGATGTTGCACATGTTGTATAAGTTGCAAGTGTTTCAGAGGCATGTTGCAAGCGTTTGTTCAAAATGTTTCATCTGTTTCTAGACGTACGTTGCAATCGTTTTTGATCTGGATGTTGTATATGTTGCAACAATATATTCCAAATGTTTTTGTTGTTTCAGTCTTATATGTTGCAGTAAGTGGTTTCATGTTGCAAGCTGCAAGTGTTTTATTTTGGATGTTTCATGTGTTTTCACAAAGATGT